AAGCTCAACCCAGACCGAATCACAGGGATTCTATCCCTTCCCCCTCCCTCTTCAAAGGGGGAAATCAGAAAACTACTCAGATTATTGGGATATTATAGATTGTGGATTAAAAGATATACACAAGCAGTGAAATTTTTGTATGAAAAATTGACAGAGGGAGATGATATAAAATAGACCAAAGAAGATAATAAAAAAAAAAAAAAAAGGGAAAACTGAAGTTAAAACTGGCCTCAATACCAGCTTTAAGCTTACCTTCACTAGCAAAACCCTTTCATCTGTACGTAAATGTAAAAAAGGGGGTAGCTCATGGGGTTTTGGTTCAGGAATGGGGAGGAGTAAAGAGACCAGTGGCTTATTCATCAAAGATGTTGGATCCAGTAAATCAGGGCTGGCCAGTGTGTATTCAAGCTATAGCAGCTACCGCAATCCTGGTAGACGAAAGTCGTAAACTGACTTTTGGAGGTAAATTGTGTGCACACCTCATGCAGTACTAAAATTCTTCCAATTTGCATTGTGATTTTTATCTTGGAATACATAACTTACTATACTCTAGGATTGAAAAACTAGTTTACAGATGTGACATAGCAAAACCTGGTATTAATTTAAGTCCATGCAGGCTGTTCAATCAAGTGATTCTCAGTGTATAAAGTTAAACTAAAGGTAACACCAGCTGCTTAGTAGGTCAATGAGAAACACTTTTCCTTCCAGCCAGTCCTTTTTCATGTACCCAAATATGTTTCTTAGTTGTCTTGTTTTGTTTGTTAGTTTTTCTGGAAGTGCTAACTACTTGCAGTGTATCTGGAACAGCAACTAAAATTGTGCATACAAAACACTTGTGAAAAATTGGGCTCATTTTTTTTTCCCAGAATGGGAGGTGGCTACATGTAGAAAAGGGAACCTACAAAGGGGACCGAACCGAAGTCTTTAGTTTTGGCACTGTTAGCTGTGAATGGCTGGTGGCTTTGGTGGATGGTGCCGTGGATTACACGCCTGCAGAACACACATAACAAAAGTAATTGAATTTGTAAGGAGGTTGAAAAAGGGGAGGAGAGGTGATTGGCAGACTCACCTCTCCAGGATGTAGGACTAATGTTAGAAAGTGGACTGAGGATGTTGAAATGTGAAGAGAGAAAAAGAGAAAGAGAGAGAAAGAGAGAGAAAGGGAGAGAGAGAAAGAGAGAGAGAGAAAAGGAGAGCGAAACACACCCCCAAAATCCCCAAACCATAGCTATCTGTAAGTTCTCCCCCATTCCTGCTAAATAGAGTGACAACAAGGGGGGGAAGTGGCGAGCCAAACCGAAGGCTGTGAAAAAGAGGGACAGCAGGACCACCAATAGAGATAAGATCAAAGCAGAGATAGCTGACTCTCACAAAGTGGTTTATTTTTTTAAACAAGACTTTTTTCCTTCTGATTTTTGTTTTTAAGAAGAGGAGGCTTTTGACTAAAACAGTTAGATGTTGTCTAAAAAGCAAAAAGCAAGAGATGTGATACATCTCGTGTTAAATTTGGCCTAGTCTTTTTATTTAACTAATTATAGCTCACAGGAAGAGGAATTAGCCTCTGCAGCTATTAACACAGCTGGATACAAGAAGAAGAGGTGGCTGTAGAAAAAGTTTTTTGCTAAACCCAGAAAGTTTTGAAGAAAACTAATGGTAAAAGTTAATGCAGTCTTGTTTTTCTTTTAACACTGTGTTATTAAGAAGTCCTTTCCAGGTACTACTAAAGCAGCAATCTGAACCACGGAAAAGAGGATGAATTCATGCCAGCAAAATCAAAGGACTTGTGAAGAACCTTGAAGAATGGACTATCACATCTAAACCGGGTGATACCAAATTGACTTTCAACTGGAGCTGGGTGGTAATGCTTTGGGAAGACCCAAATGATCCAAGGAAGGTACAAAGAATAACACCTGAGAAACAAGGCAAAGGTTACACCACTGGTTTTAAGCACTGCCTGAATAAGCCCTGAGAGGCCTCTGACACCTCCTTGGGAGGGGAATACTGTCACTTCAAACAGGAGAATCAGGACTGTTTTAGTCAAAGAGTTCTTATTCTGACCTTAGCCTGTGACTTGTACAGGGAAGAAGGGAAATTACCATTAATACTATGCTGTATACTTTATTTGATTCATCCCCATACTGGACATGCTAGCTGGGTTAAAAGTGAATGTTTAAATTATGGGAATAATTGGCATTGTAGTTCACAAAATCTATGTTCTTGTTGAAAGAAGTATCGAGTACTGAATTGATCCCCTATACAGAAAGAACTCAAAACTGAAGTAATAAATTGGTTTTGTAGATGTGAATTATCGGTACCTGTGGACTGAGCGATACCTGAGGAATGGTGGGAAACCACAGTTAAAAGGTGTCAAAAACAATTTGCCTGGAAATTAGTAAAAAAGGAGTGACAAGGGAAACAGAGGGCAAGCCTGGATTGACCACTGTACTCGCCGCCGAGAAGATCGCACATACCTGCTATGGGAAGCAAATCCATAGGCAGGGGAGGTGGGGGTATAAGCCCTATCAGACCTCTGTTATTCCTGTTGCTGTCTCTCATTTGTTTTCTTTTACCTTTCAAGATACCAGCAAGATCGTGTCACAAATGCTACAGGAAAGTATTACATAGAAAGAAACCAAAGTTCCTTTTTTGTTGCACACACCTATGTCAACAGCCACTGTTATAACCCATCCAAATTAAGTACCTGCAGGAAAAAGGTGGAAAATTATTACATTACAAAGAACTGAGGAAAAAGTAGAAATACATGGGGCATGGAATGCCCAAAACGAGAGAGATGGATTTGTTTTACATTTGATCTTAGAAATATAGTCCAAGATTAGGTAAAGAGACAATTAGTAAAAAAAAAAAAAAAAAAAAAAGATAAAACCAGTACAGCAGTCTAGCTCTGTATTGACCCCAAATTATATACTGAATCATATTATAGGACTCCAAGCAGTTATAGAGAAGATAACAAACAAAGCTGCTCAGGCACTGGAATTAATACTGAGTCAGCAAAGCCAAACAATAACTGCACTGTATTAAAATAGGTTGGCTTTACGCTATTTATTGGCTAAAGAATGGGGTGTACAGATTGTTGAAAATAGATGGCAATGGGGAGGTCATCCTGGAAAAAACAAAGGATATCAGAAAAAAATTATGATCCAGGTATCAGTCCAAAAATGGGAAAATAATGTTAAAAACTAACAGGTGGGGAATGTATTGAGAATGGGATGGTGGAAGAAATTAGGATTGTTCCTTTTATGTGTTACAAGTGTTTTGATATTTCTTCTTTGTTTAATGCCATGTTTTATGTGATTACCAACAGAGTCCAAAGAATGCAAGTGGATAAGAAATATTGCTCAAGCCAAATGATTTATAAAGAATAAGAGGAGGGATTGTGAAAAATGCATATTTTATGATTGGCTTTTTGCAAATGTTACAATGAATATTATATGTGTAATTTTAGAAAGTTATGCTGTATTAATTCCCTTATGTAGTGTGTTAAATGTAGTTTTAGGTTTCAACATAATGTTAAAATAGAGACTATGTATGTGGGGGAAGTTTTTTTTTTAGGATGAGATATTCGCTTCGAGGAACACCTAAATCTTCCAAAGGAGAGAAATTTATGGCTTCTTATCAGAAGAAACTAATTTCTTCAGGCCTTGCTCAGACTCGAAGATGCCAGGGGATTAAAGGAAACAGTTGACATACAACAGAGTTTCTTGTTTAGAATAGAATGTATGCATAACGATGAAGGATCTATGAATATGCAACAAGTGTATTGTTTTAAGGTTATTCCTTTGTTCACAAGACATGCTTTTCGTGACTTAGTGTCCGAGAGCATTCAGACGTCCATAATTCTTTGCTTTTTATTGTCTTGTAATTGTCCTAACCCTAAACTTTATTACTCTAATTGTATTATTATTTTTATAACCATTTTATTATTATTAAACTTTTCAAATTTTAAAAACCAAGTGATTGGCGTTTTTCACAATATATATCACATGTGATGCATAAATTCCTTGCAAATTAAGAATTTTACTGGTTTTTGTCAACTTCTTCCACTTAATCCTGGTGGCTCCATAAAGACAGAGAGAAGGTGGAAGAATGTTTGTCTTTTCCGATAAGGAGACAGTAACTCTTTGTCCTGTGCTGTTATCTCTGTGCTAAGAGTTTCTTGATTATCTTATCCCTTGCTTGAGCTAGTTAAAAAATCCTACATCAAAGAGTTTCTATCTTAAAATTATATTGTAATCTAAAACTATATTTAACACACTACTTAAAAAAATTAATAGAGCATAACTTTCTAACATTACACATATAATATTCATTGTAATATTTGCAAAAAGCCAATTATGAAATATGCATTTTTCACACCCATAATACTGGCGGCTCCTTAAAGATGGAGAGGAGGTGGAAGGATATTTGTCGTTTCCGATAAGGAGGCAGTAACTCGTGCTGTTATCTCTGTGCGAAGAATTCCTTAATTATCTCATCCATTCCTTGTGCTGGGGCCAAAAAGTTATCATGCACCACATAGCTTCTATTTTAATATTATGCTATAGCCTAAAACTATATTTAAACACTACTTAAAACTATTAATACAATATTACTAAAAAAGGATAAATATACCACTACGTTCATATATAAGACAAATGGTATTAATTTTAATATTTGCGAAGAGCCAACCATATAAAATGCATTTTCCACAACTCGATGTGGTAACAAATAAAAAGCAACAGTACTTGTAGCTACTACAGCGTCTTCTGCGACCTCGTAGCCCGCCCTCAGGGTCGCAGCACTACACGGGACAGATCCCTCCGCGCCCCGCGGACGCTAAGTCGACGAGGGCGGACTCGCCAAGGGGGCGGGGGAAAGCGAAACTGGCAGGCGAGACAGCAAATGGAGACGCGGGCCACGATCCGTCGGCCCAATGGGCGCCGCGGAGGGCTCGGCTTAGTGGAGGAAGTGTCGGGGCGGCCACGGGCGTTGTCCTTGGCTGGCGAGAGTGTCGGCGTGCTGGCCTGTGGCCCTGGTGGTGCCACTACTGTCTTCGGAAAGATTATCGCAAGGCGTTTCTCTGGTGTCGTTAGCGACGAGGACGAGGAGGTAGCCGCACCCTTGCTCTGTGCGCGGTTCCTCTTCCCTTCCCCCTCCTCCCCCTACCCCCTCCTCCCGCGCTTGCAGGCATCTGAGCCGAGGACCGGTGCGCGGTGCCCGGGCGCGCGGCAGGGTGCTGCTGCTGCGGGTGGGTGCAGGGACGGGGGACGGACGGGGCCTCTCTGGGTTGTGGCGCTCTCTCCTGCACCATCCCCTAAACTTGTTCTGGGCCGCACCCCCACCCCTCCGGCTGCCGCGGGCCTACTGGGTTGCTGGTGTTGTCCGGACTCGCCTCGCATTCCACCATCACCCTGTCGTGTGCGCACGTAGGGAAGGACCTGTGACGGTAACTTGGCCTCAATGTGTCTCTTAAGAGCATTGAAGAGGTTTCGCAGCTTCACTCTGCTGGGCTGTGATTCTGAACCCGCAAGCTGGATTATTAGGGCAAGGAATTACGGCTTTCTCTAGTTAAAAAAAAAAAAAAAAAAAAAAAAAAAATTACAAAGTGGTCATCCTGCAGGCTGCAAAGGCTTTCCAGAACTTGTATCTGTGGGGAATGTTATAAATTATGACACGGGACCAGTTTGTGTCACTTTATAAAGAGAATTTTATTAATTTAGCAAGCAAGCAGTACGGGCAAATGCAGCGCTGGGCGGCCGGGGAGCCTCTGCTCCCACCAACGGCTCGCACCGCACCTCCCGGTCTTTCAGTTCTTATACCCCTTCAGTTCCGGACTTTGTGATATTCTCGACGTGCTCTGCATCTGCGCGGCGTGTTGCTAGGGGTCTTTTTTCTGCTGTCCAGTGGTCGTTTGAGGAAAGCTCCTATTCTTCTTCCTCCGAGGTAGCGTTAACCCTGCAATAACTTCTCCAAATATGGTAACGCAGCTTTCAAAGATCTCTCAATTCCATTATCTACTAATAGCAGTACATCCTGCCCTCCTGCCCCACTGTTTCCTGTGACTTACACAATCCCTGGGACTTTTCCTGATGAACAAAAACTATGCTATTGTCTTTCACAGGGAAGTAAGACCGTGATAACAGCATTCTTGCAAGGGTCCCTAGTGTTGGTGCTGGAAACTAGAGTGAGCTGCTTAGCCCGGGGGGAAACCAGTACAGCCGTTGCCTATGCGATGTTACCTTTAAGGTAATATCCCATATGACTTGGTTATAAAAATGCTAACGTTCAGTTAACAGGGACGCCTTTTTTCTTTTAAAGGCAGAGCTTGCATGCAGTATAGAAGACAGACTCATCCTATGCACTTGCAGGCTACCTGTCATTATGCGTGTGTTTGATACTTGAGCTCCCTGTCCTGTGGGAAACGAATGGCCGCTGCTCTTCCACTTCACTAAACTCTTTAATGATTCAGTTAAGCCATTTGTCTCCAGTCTCTGCATGGCCCACATCCAATAGAAAAACTGCTTAGGAATCAATCAGCCCGAACTAAAACATACTGGAGGTTTTTAATTGCAAGTAGTGGCCTGTCTCCTTACCCCATTGTCTTGCATGACAAATCCCACTTCTGGAGGGGGCTCTGTGAAGATGTCGTGTTTTGGGTATAGAAAGCATTATAATAATGCAAGAAAAATCAATGTTCTGGCTGGTGTTTGGGTATCTGGTAATCTGCTTCTGTAGGAGTTCAGCGGGGCAGATGGGTTTGCATAAGCTCTTACCTTTCTCTAAAGCCGGTTATGTTTTAACTGTTTAATCTTCCTCCAGTGCCGTACGTTCCATGATCTTTTGCCCCTAGACGGGACGCTTTTCCTAGACATGCCTAAGGAGCCAATTTTCGAGTTGTCTGAAGCAGGAGGTTCTGGTGAATCTGTAAGTACTGTGTGAGTCTTTCTGTATGCTAAACTGTACCTGTAAATAATTCCTCATTTACTGGACTCTTTCCTATTCCCCCTTCCCCCTTGATAGGGCACAGTAGGCTCCTTTGGGTTTTCTGGCGCTGTCATCTTTTTGCCTCTAGCTTGTAATGGAGTTGAGCTTTTTGACTAAAAGCAGTGCTATCAAGCAGTACTGGTCCCTGGGTATGTATTTCTGGTGCAAAATGCAGTGTTGTTTTGGAGCGCAGTCTGGTGCCTATTGCCGTGGTTTAGAGTAAGAGTAGTAGAACTTCTAACATGCAGAAGAGTGCTTGGGGTTTTTGGCAGGTCAGGGGCAAGGAAGGACAAAGCTGGTTGAGAGGTGCTGGATTTTTTGCTTTTAGCTATGAAAGCCATGTTGAAAGACTTTGTAAACCTACGCAAAAGGCAGCGTAAAGTTTCTTTTCCACCAGGGTTGGTTATGTTGCCTGAAGACACAATGGGGGCTTTAACCCTGAGGCAAAGTCAGCTTGTGTGGCTGTTTTGTAGTCCTTTGCTGTTTAGCTTGAGAAAAATTGCCTAGCTCTCTGTTGCCCCTATGGTGTGCATCATTGGTCTTGGTAACTTTGCTTGGAACGCTTCTGTTGCCAGCAGTCGGACGGGCATTAATTTGATATGCAATGGTTGAATTGCTAGGAATTGGCTAGCTACTTTCGCTGGGTGGTTCTCTGCTCTCGTTCCTTCCCTTCCTGCCCTCTTTATGTGTTCCTTTTTCTTTTAACTGTACTTATTTATGGGTTTGTACTTCCTTCTCCAGCTTCTTGGGCATGTAATGATTGTTGGCAAGATGTGTGTTGCTCGCCTGGGCCTGACCAATGGATTCCGGATGGTTGTGGATGAAGGGCCCGAGGGTGGGCAGTCTGTCTATCGCATGCATCTCCCCGTTCTGGGTGGCCGTCAGTTGGGCTGGCCGCCTGGCTAAGATTTTGGCACCGCAAGAGTTGCTGCAAGTGTACAAATCGCCACTGAATGGATTTCGTCTGTTGCCCATCAATCTAGCGGCTTTTGATGTGTAATTTTTTTTTTTTTTTTTTTGCCGTGTGTCTGTGGAAGGTAATAAAAGCTTTGAGCAGCAGTTGCACAATAAAGATTTGTCATGGGGATATCACCTCCGTGTTGCGTGTCTTACTGAGGGGAAGTAGTTCTGCAAGTTCAAACGGTGTCTTCCTGGAATGCAAGTAGTGGAATGTTTCAGCCAGGTAACAGCATTTCAGAGATAGGTAGTGATTGACCTGTTTTGTGTGAAGCTGGAAGCGCGTCTTGTAGGAAGCAAAGTCTTAGCTCTTTGGCAGTGGTACGCCAGCGTACAGAAAGGCCGTGTAGGCTGCAGCTAAAACTGTAGAGGATACTGTATGAGGCTGCATGCATGCTTTCCGAGGGTGGTTTCATCATGGTGCCCTGTGTTGGAAGCATGCACCTCCTGTTGGACCTGGGTGTCCTGGTAACAGGAGTCGGGGTGCCAGTTTAGCACTATGTGCACGTCAGCAAACTGTATTGTACCACCCTCTATGTCATTCCTGATAAACTTCTAATGATGGATCACTTGCAGTAGCTGCCTCCTGTACACCTGTAAGAGGCCGTCTGAAGACCCTCACTCATTTGTCTGCCGATTGCCACGAGAAGGAACTCCCTTCCCCCACTGCAGTTCCAGCTTGGAGAAGGCAGCATGCAGGTGCAGCCACTGTACCGTTACTTTAGCTGTTCTGAACGAGGCCTGACAAGAACTTGGCAAGGAGTTGGCAAGGACTTGGCGAAGACCCAGCGTAGACCCAGCACGGGGCGGGCTGCTGCAATGCCTACTTCACTCTCCATCCTTAAGCCGAATTAACTGTTGGGGTGACTCTGGTGGTCTCTCATTGAAGACCCCTCAACTGCCTCATTACCACCGTGACAGACAGAGATCAAGAACCCTCTCCCCAAGGACTGAGGCTGAGACCCCTACCACAGGGAGTGGGGGGAGGGAGAATGACATGACCTGTTCTTCTCCAGTAACTTCAATGGACTTATTCTTCATTGTGTTCATCCTGCCTGGACGATTTTCAGTAGATACACTTATTCCCCCTGATAGTAAAAGGGTTTTAAAATCATGGGGATTAATGGTTAAAAGGAAAAATAAGCTTAGTAGGCCCTGGAAAAATAAACACCCTAAGCACATGAAAAACTTATACTTGCTAGAACTGCACCTGTGTAGCTAGTACATGATAAATGATATAATTGTTAGATGTGATGATTGTTTAGTGATTAAATATAATTACTGCTTAATCATAAGCATAATCATGAGAAACTGTGGTCAGGGACCTAAGAAACTCATATCAATATATACAATAGAACAATAGAAGTTTAATAATTAATATGTAAGTAATATAACGATAGAATATAAAATACGTTCAGCTCAAAAGCCATGTCGGAGTCAGATTTGGGTCTGGACCCCTGATTCCCAGAGCTCTTAATAAAAGCACCTGCATATAATCATATCCCGTGATTATGTGTGTTCCTGAATGCTAACATTTTGGCAAACCCAGATTGGGACCCTGCGAGTGTTGCTGAGGACCCCACGACCCGATCACACTCCAGCCGGCACCGAGGGATTCTCGGGGAGACCATCGGCGCCGTGACCCTCTGCCACTCACAACGTCCCCTGGAGAGAAGTATGGTGGTTTTAATTTGGTGTAGAACCTGCCGATAAGACGCAGCGAAAGCTACACTCGGTTGGGTTAGAGGAATTCCTGTGGTATTGCCTAGGCGCTGTTCGTTAGACGTTGCAAAAGCATTGCAGGTTCGGCATTCTGTGGTGTAATATGGAGAAGCTTAAAGGTCTCTTGGGCGGTAATGCCCCCATACCACGTTCTTCTCCTTTGGGGTGCTTATTAGCACATTGGAAACAAGGTAATTTTGGGCAGGACTTACCTAGGGGTAAGTTAATTGATTACTGTAATACATGGTGGCCAGAATATATTTTGGAAGGTGGTGAAAAATGGCCACTGAATGGAACATTGCAACATAACACTATTTTGCAATTGATGTTGTTTTGTAAACGCGAAGGAAAATGGGATGAGGTTTCGTATATTGATTTGTTTTTCTACTTGCAAATAAGCCAGAATGGCAGGTTGAATGTGGATTGATGGTAGTTAAGGCATCTACAAGTGATAAGTGTGAGGTTTGTGTGAAGGAGAAACGTTGTTTACAACATTTTGCATTAAAAGAAAATCTGAGTCGGAGGAACAATACAGATGTTGATTTACAGGTAGCCCCCACAAGACCAAGAAAACCTAACCCTATCCTGCCTGCCCCTACCCCTACTTCATCACCTGCTTCACCCAATCCTGTTTTGTCTAGTCCTATTTCACCCACTCAAACCCTCTCTCCCTATCCTCCTCTTCTTCCACCAGCACCTGACCCCTCTTCCCCTGGAGATGATCTAAATTTAACTGTGATGCATAGAAGGGGGGAGTATGAGAGTGAAGGAGATAGCGAGAGTAGAGATGAAAGTGAATCTGTGATACCATAGTGTGGGTCTCAGATTCGGTTCAAGAAAGAAACTGAGAGTTTCTAGCCAGGCAAAAAGCCTGGGAAAGAGCTGGAGAAGAATCTAAATAATTCTTTATCTCTCTTGTTTTTCACATTGTTTATGGTTAAGTTCAATCACTCTGCGTCAAGCACTTTGCACCAATGCTGTGGATTGTTTTCACTTAAGAACCAATGGATTTGGTCCTCACGAAGCTCTGTATAGAAGAGCAGTGTATTTTGAATAAATCAGAGTTTTACTCTCACAACCTTCTGATTCAAGTCTATTCATTCCTGTCATGCCTCGACAGCGACACCATAGGACTCGGAATCGGTCAAAGCCTGCCCCGGTCTTGGCCAGAAAAGATCTGGGTAGACAGAAGCGGACTGTGATTGCCCCCTTACGACAGGGAATAGGAGCGGAGGGGCCGGTGTTTGTAAAGGTAACTTTTTCCACTGTGGATTTAGTAATTTGGAAACAATCGTCTGAAACTTATGGAGAAAATCCTGATAAGGTGGCCGTGGACTGGAGAGGGGAGGTGGACTTGGCAGGGGACATGGGGGAACTGCTGTGCCAAAATTGAGATTTAACCAGTGCACTTTTTGCATGCAAGAAGGTCACTGGAAGAATGAGTGTCCAAACCAGTTTTACCAAGGCAACCAGCCAAGCCAGGATCAAGATATGGCAAAATTAATGGTACTGGGGGAATACAGTAATTGACTAAATACGGGAGATACCAAGGAACCTTTTGTGACCATACAGCTAGGTGATAGAGTAGTAAAATTCCTGGTGGATATGGGGGCCATGTATTCTGTACTGAATGATTTGCAAAGACAAGTTGGGGACAAACAAACAACAATAGTCGGGGCCACAGGGAAGGAGGAAAATCGGCCGTTCCTACAACCCTTAGAACAGTGTTTTGGAAATAAGGTCCTGAGGCATGAATTCCTGTATGTGCCTGAGTGTCCAATTCCCCTTTTAGGTAGAGATTTATTGGAAAAACTTGATGTGGTGATAACCTTTGAGAATGGGGAGCTTTTAATGAAAATACCTGAATCAAAGACAGGACAAATTTTAATGATTAAGGAAAAAAACAGCTCCCTCTATTCCTAGGGAAGTAGAAGATGCAGTAACTCCTTCAGTATGGGAAACAGATATACCTGGGTAATCTAAATTAGCACAACCAATACATGTTGAATTAAAGGAAGGGGCAAAAGCAGTACAGGTTAAACAGTATCCTCTAAAAACAGAAGCACAGCAGGGAATAGTAAAAATTATTGATAAATTCTTGAAATACCAAATTTTAGAAGAATGTGAATCAGAATATAATACACCTATATTTCCAGTGAGGAAACCCAATGGTGAGTATAGACTAGTGCAGGATTTGAGAGCAATAAATGAAATAACTAAGGGCATTTATCCAGTGGTTGCCAATCCTTACACATTGTTAACATCCGTGAAAGAGACATGTAAATGGTTTACAGTAATTGATCTAAAAGATGCCTTTTTCTGCATACCCCTTGACAAAGAAAGTAGGAACCTGTTTGCCTTTGAGTGGGAAAATCCAGGAAATAGCAGAAAGACCCAGCTCACCTGGACACGGCTCCCACAAGGATTCAAGAACAGTCCCACCCTATTCGGAAACCAACTGGCAAATGAGTTGGAGACCTGGACGGCAAGAGGGCAAGTACCGAGAGAACAATACCTGCTGCTACAGTATGTTGACGATATACTGATAGCCACAGAGGAGAAAGCAACCTGCATAAAGGTAACAATTGAGATTTTAAATTCACTGGGAATGGGAGGATATAAGGTATCTAAAGAAAAAGCACAAATTGCCCAACAGACTGTGATTTACCTGGGATGTGAAATCTCACAAGGGCAGCGAAAACTGGGTACTAACCCTATTCAAGCTATTTGTGCCATTCCAGAGCCCCAGAATCTACATGAGCTGCGAGTCTTCCTTGGGATGACAGGGTGGTGCCACCTGTGGATCATGGACTATGGACTAATTGCAAAATCCCTGTATGAGGCCCAGAAGATGCAGCTATTTACCTGGGGCAAACCACAGAAGGAGGCTTTCCTCAAACTAAAGGAGGCCTTGACAACTGCTCCTGCATTGGGGTTACCTGATTTGTCCAAAGATTTTCAGCTGTTTGTACATGAAAGCCTGTGTCTGGCATTGGGAGTCCTAACCCAACGTTTGGAAAGCTGGAAAAGGCCGGTGGGCTACTTTTCCAAACAACTTGACAATGTCAGTGCTGGATGGCCTTCAGGTCTGCGGGCAGTCACAGCCACTGTGATCCTGATGCAAGAAGCCAGGAAGCTCACCATGGGAAGGCACATAGATGTCTATGTACCACATATGGTAACTACTGTGTTGGAGCAGAAGGGGGGCCATTGGCTCTCCCCGAGTTGAATGATGAAATTCCAGGTAATCTTAATGGAGCAAGATGATGTAACATTAAAAACAACTAACCTTTTGAACCCAGCCTTGTTCCTAGGTACAACATCTGAAGAAAGCCCACTGGGACACGATTGCATGGAAGTAATAGAACACACCTGTGCAGCTAGAGCAGATCTGAAAGATGTCCCCCT